TGTGAAAAATAAAGTCTCCAACTTTGACTTCAAGTCTTGGGAGCTGAAAGCAAACCAAAAGACATGAACTAACCTAGTTTTCTCCAACCTTACCCACACATAAAACCCAAAGCTGACCTTTCTCTGTTTTTCTGGAAAACATAAAGATCTAGCTTCTGATAAAGCATGAAATACCACTTTTTAGTCAAAACGGCATCTCTACAGATAAAATTTAATTTTAAAACCATAAATTTCAATTTACAGACGTTTATGAATGTCATTACAAATAACCAGCAGATCGGGCTGATGTTCTTACACACACAAGGGTTTTAACGATTTGCTGAATAATCTTTCATCTTCAAAGAAAAGTTTAATCTTGATGAGAGTAACAATTTCAGCTAAAGAAAAACAGAACACCTCTACTAAGACTGCTTAGCTGCCTGCAGACATGTACACCAAGATCACAAAGTTGCCATGGCATCAACTTCAGGACTGTGGTTAGACACACAAAATGTCTTTTTCCTACAGACCATTATGGGAAGCTGAGTGACTCTGGCCATGAACCAAATATGTTTTGGCTCTAAAGTCGACATAATTCATCCCCATTTGGGCATTCCAATGGTTAGCTCCACTGAGAAAGCAAGGCAACCAGCACTTTAGAGCATCCATGTGAATGAAGCTCTAAATACACTGCTCTAGCAGTGGCAAAGCTTACCTTGCTCCCTATCATTACATAATAACATAATACTATTTTCTCCAGCACTTAACCAGCAGATCAGAACAAATGGGAAAGGTTCATTTTTGGCTACTGTACATCAAACTGCAGTGTGAGGAAATTTTCTAGGATCTAAGGTATCACATTTATTTCTCTTATTTCCCGATATTTTCAATTGTATAAGCATAAGGCTCTTTTTAAACAACAGCTATCAAAAACATGAGCTAAAATAAGACTTCTGCAGGTACTGAAAAACTCTGAAGTAGCCTGGATAAGTAAAACACTTAACGTAGTCTGAACCAGTGAACTTCTTGTAAACTGTTTTTCCACGCAGTAGTCACAGAGGCCCAAAGCAAACCTCCCACATCCCCAGCTGTTGGCTTCCTCAGAAAGCACCATGTGAGGCAGAGCAGGGAGTGCTGCTGCCACCCTGCCCAGGCAGGGGCACGGCCAGAGAGCTGGGGCAGGGGACCCGGGGCTGTCACACAGAGCTGGGGCAGGGGACCCGTGGCTGTCACCAGCTGTCACCAGGGCTAAACCCCTTCTTCCCCCGAGGCTCATCCTCGCAGAAGGAGGCCTCCAGTCACATTCTACTTCTGAAAACAGTAATTTAGGACCCAGTTCACTATCCAACAAACACACATCGTGAGGCTATGGCAAACAAGTACTTGAGAAATCAGAAAGCTTTAGAAAGTATGTTATAAAATACCCCATTACTATACATTATCAGTAACTCACATATTAAAAACAAATCAAGTTATCATTTTATTCTTGAGATCACAGCAGGAACACTGACGACCTCGAGGGCAGGACCTCGTGTTTCAGCCGCCGAAGCCGGCCCGTCCCCACAGCCCCGCTCAGGTCCCGGTGCCCCGAACCCCCAGGCCCTGCCCGCGGCGCGCGCCCTCCCTCAGCGGGCTCCTCCTCACCTTCTACCACCAAACACAACCACCGGGCACCAAGGAACCAAGTTCTCCCGAAAGCGGCATTCTTCTTCTTTTCCCCCGAATCTCTACTACCGAAAGCACGAAAGCCGCCCCGGTCCCAGGACCGCGCCGGGCGGGCCGGGGAGGCGGAAATCGCGGCCGTGCCGAGCGCCGGGCCCCGCCCCGGCCCCCGCCCGCACACGCTCCCCCGGCACCAAGTTTCACCGCCGGCCCCGCGCCCGCCGGCCAGGCCGGAGGCAGGGAGGGAGAGGGCAGGGAGGGAGAGGGCAGGGAGGTCTCACCAGCGGCGGGCCCGGCCCCTCGCCCCGGGCTCCGCGGCGCGGCCCAGCCCGGGCTGCTCGGGCTCCTCCGGGCTGGGCAGGCGCGGCGGCGGGATGAGCTCACGGGAGGGGCGGCGGCAGCGCCCGCCCCCGGCGGGACGGGCCGGGGCGGAGCGGGAGCGCTGAGGGAGGGCACGGCACAGCAGGGCAGGGCACTGCCCGCCCGGCCTCAGAGCCCCGCTGAGGGGCCGCTCCGCCAACACCCACCCCAGAGCCCCGCAGAGCCGGCCCGGCCCGCGGGCCGCGTGTGCTCGGACACCCCACACACCCCACACCGTGAGCTCTGCCCGGACACCCCACACACCCCACACCGTGAGCTCTGCCCGGCTGTGCTGCCCGGACACCCAACACGTGTTGAGGTGGCATTACCTCTGAATACAGCAGTGAACACGGTTCCAGTCTATCCATCCATATTTTCCAAGATAGTGAAAAATGAGAGGGTGCTGAAAGTAATGCCAGGCAGCAAGAGTGTTAAAATATTTAGTTCCTCAAAGAGACAGCTCAGAGGGCAGCTTATGAGAAAGAGAACAAGGTATTTTACTGTAGGGCACCCATGGTAACCACAAAGAGCTGTATGGACGTAGCCATCAAAAAGCATTACCTGTGACTGGGGATGTCACATGCAGATAACCATATCACATCAGTGGGGCTGGCATTAAAGAGCCAGGTGTTTTTAAGTATTAACACACAGGTTTAGCAGTGGTGGTTTGCATAGCATTGTTATGAGCACAACAGTCAATAATATCAGCACACTCATCTGATGTGTTTGTCTCTCTCACCTCAAGTGTCAGATACTCCAGCTCTTCCCTACACAGAGGCCAAAGCCCTCAGCTTCGCTACATGCAATCTCTACAATGTAATTTCACATGATTAAATACAAAAATGAATCTTCCTTACACCCAAAAAGGCAAACGTAGAGACAATCCAAAATACATTTATAAATAACAGTAAGGGTTTGCCGTGCAGACTGTGATTTTCATATGTAATTCATAATGAAAAACTAAATCTGAATTTAACTGCAAAATAATTATTACAGTGCCAGAGTATTCTAGAACATTTTCTACCCTATGGGAGCATTTCACAGAGTGTCTTCCAATGTGTCTATAAGGGGCACAAAAGAGAATCCATGTGTGTGTTCAGAAAAAAGTGGCAGGCTGACACACAAGCAGCACAGTCTCTGGAGAACATTGGCCATGACTGCCTTGTTTGGTGTCAGAGCAGAAGAACTGGAGACAAAGCTCTCAGGGTGACAACAGCTGGGCCATTAGTGATCTTACACTTCTTTCACTGCCCCTTCCAGCAGCTCTGCAGCTGAAGGCTGGTCCCAAAGCAAGGGGAGGGTGCTGTGTGCGCCTCAGCCAGCAGCACACAGTGTCTTTCCTCCGATGGACAATCCTCTTAATCACATTCCCTTCCCTCCATTTTGCCAGTGTGATGAGGCCCGTGTCTGGAAAGAAAGGAATTTTCTCTCTCCCAGAGGAAATGTCTTAGTTCTGGCAGCCTTTTATGATTTTGGCTGTCTGAAATCTGAGACAAGAAACTGAGCTATGATTTCTATTGTGGGATCTATTCCTCAGGTCCAGTGCTGGCTCTCTCTTCCTCTAGATGTGAACCCAGAAGTTTTGAAATAGTATTTATAGTCAATTGGATTTAGGTCCTGCTGTTTCACGGGAAAGCTGAGAATCAAAGTATTTTTAACTAGGGCTTGATTTTAGTGCTTCTCTATTTCTCTTAGCAGAGCAATGCTTTTGATGCCAGCAAATAAAGGTTTTTGCTCTCATCAGTAGCTTCCTTTTGGGGAGAAGGTAAGGCCACAGCTGTTGTTCTACTTTTTCTGCCTCTGCTCCTTCCACTCATTTGTTCACATGATTTATCCATTCCTAGCCACTGAAATTCTTCAGTTCTTCCTCCTTTCTTCTCACAAAGGTTATGGCTGTGCTCAGCCACACACTTACCATGCAAGCTTCTGGTAGCCTTTTTTTTTTTAAACGGGAATCAGACCACACAAATATAATGGCAGCAGTGTTCACTGTAATGCTGGGGGATAGAGAAATTAGAAATCAGACTGCTCCCTTTTTCAGCTCAGCTTCAGTGTTGTTTATGTTAGTTCAGGTTTCTCATGTTAACCTACTATTCCAATTCTTGGGTTTGGAGGGCTCCTTCAAAGAAGGTAATTTTGTAAATTTTAGAGGCTTCCTTTCAATGCAGCTGCTTTTATCCTATCAGATTCATTCTCATGCAACATGAGAATTTTCTAGCAAATTATTAATTTACTGGTTTTTAAGGTAGTAGAATCAACACCACCTTATATTCAAGAGCTTTGTGACCGTCAGATTTGCAGTGTCTAAGAAAGTCTAAGTTCTGACACAGGTTTTTGGTCTACATTAACCTACATTCATAATGTCTCTCCAGGCTGCAGTTCCCTGATGCCTGAGCCTGTGACACCCCCTGGCAGGTGTGCACACAGGGATTCAGCTCAGCCTGTTTCCTCTGGGGAGCTGGTCACAGCTCTACAGGGCAAAACAAGAGTGAAGCTGAAGACTTTCAATCACCACCTACATCACAGTACTTTGGGATCACTCCATGCACCAGCTGAGGTCTGGCAGTTGCTGTTCACAGCTGACTGTGTGCAGAGCCTCAGTCGTTGCAGCGATACCACATAAGATCTCAGCGTGCTTGCAATGCTGTCTCTTACCACACTTGTTTGTAAACAGCTCCCACAGGTGCAGATGCTACTTTGTAGAAGTGTTAATAGGATAAATAGTAAAAAATAATAATCAGTGACATCAACTAGACTGTTCCAAATGCTACAACATTACAGTTGCTTCTGTTAATTTGTGCTTCCCCGTGCTCTTTTCTGTCTACTGTTTTCCTGCTCCATTTCAGTTGTTCTTCCCGATACTCTGCTTCCATGCTGTCCACCTATTCCCAACTCCTTCCATTATGTACTTTTAAAAAAATGGCCTGAAAGGGTCCTGGATGTCAGGTCTGTCTTGCACCAGCAGCTCAGAGACCCCAACATTCACAGAGACTGCTTCCCTGTGTGCTGCCAGGGGACACTCCTGGAGGCACGGGGAGGTAGGATGGCAAATGAGCCCAGTCACTGAGCACAGGAACTGCTGTTGTAAAGTGAAGGGGGGAGGAACTCATTCTGCAAATACAGACTTACACCTGAATGATTTCCTGTTCAAGTATTACTTTTTAGCCAGAATCCACACAGCTTCATTACACAAAATCAGATGCTGCTTACAAAACAAAGGAAAAGGGAAGCAGTACATCCTACCTCATGAGAGAACCTGGACTGACAATGAACACAGAAGGCCAAAGCAATTTTAAGTCAGAGGTAAAGTATTGCAAGAGTAGATCTAAGTTGCCCAGCAAGTTTTCTATTTCATTAGCAAATAAGCATTACTTCCTTGTTTGACTTTTGCATTATTTTTTGGAGGCCGTGTGGGAAATTGTGTCTTTTCTGTTGCTCTAGTGCATCAGAGAAACAGAAAGAGATGGGGAATAAACTGTCTGGGATAGACAAGAAATGTTATTCAGTCTGTGCAGGTGTAATGATCCATGACCAGATGTACAGGCACTGCTCAAGAGACTGCCAACTGCATCCTACAGCAGGAGGAACAAACCTGGGACACATCCCTTCACACGTGCAGTTATGCCAGTAGTCTACAGTCACAGGAATGGAGTGAGAGGAAGCTGTAGGAGAAGCTGAATAGTGTGTTGCACCTCCCAATAATGTTGGTAGGTCATTTAGATTCTACATGACACCAAAAGCAGCTCTTGAACTTTCAGAACAAGCAGAATTTGGATTTCAGCCTTGCTTCTACAGGCAATCTGCAGCATGGGCACATCTCTGAACTTCTAAGGAGACAGTGACATTTGAAATATTGATAAGGACTACTGATCAGAAAATTCCTATTCATCCTACATCCTGTTTCACTTTCAGCCACAGGGAATCTTTTAAGGAACATGACAGACAGCACATAAAAAGTTACTCTTGGTTACAGGACACAACAACAAGTAATACAATTTAGTGAAAAATGTAGGGTGGAAATTTTCATGCACTTCATGTAGCTCCTGCTTGAAATCCAAGAAACCAGAGGACATCCAGCAGATCAAAATACACCTCCTTGGCAGAAAACAGCTGTTATTTCTGAGGGCAGCTCAGCTGGCAGAGCTGGAATGAGCTGTAGGCATACAGCAACCTCTTGTGGCAAATCCAGCACACACAGAGTAATGAACAACCTTTGAAACTGCTTAAGCTACTCCTGATACAAGTCAAAGCTCTGTAAAACTGCGTTAGCAAATGACTGGAGAGTTGGAGTCTCTGTTACCTGGAGACTCAGCAATACTCAGACTTCAGAGCTGTAATAGACCTTCTGTTTGATTCAAGATGAATTAAACATTGGTAGGCTGTTATAAATGAAGTGCCAGACTGAAATTTCTGTTAATAAAATTCTCTAGAAGCTTTTCATTAGAGTAGAGCAAGCATGGCGTAACGGCCAGAAGTAGAATCTGTGGCCAGGTATGACCAGAAGAATAAACATGCTGTTATGTTGAATCATTGTTCTCTGCATGGTTTTGCTGAATAAAACTATGACTGGTTTCAGCAGGGACATCAAAGTGCCTTTAATGTTTGCAGGAGCTGAGCAAGACGGAGAACACTTAAGAGTACAGGCCTGGCTCAATAGTGTGTTCTGCAGAGTGCTGGCAGAGCAGCAGCCCTTCAGCTGACAGGGAGGAGGACAAGAAAGTGTCAGACAGTGCTACAGGCCTGAAGGGGAAAAAAAGGCATCCCAGTATCTGCACAGAATCCAGGACACCTACCTCTTCAAAAGGTGTAACTCACTAGTTGTCCAAAAGCATGAAGTGTATGTTCCTCCAACCACCTGAGCAGCTGCAAATGCCTGTCCTGCACAGGCTGAGGAGGGGAGAGCAGGGAGAAGGTGCTGGAAGGGAACAGGAAGAATGGCAGTGAGGCTTTCCAAACAAAGAGGTGCTTTCCTGAGAACCTGGTGTGGGAGTTGTGCACCACAGAAACAATTACAATATGAGTATTGTAGATTACACTTATTAGACCAATAAACTATTTTTTTTTTTTACATTGTAGAAATATACTCCTATGCTGCTGGACCTAAGGGTGAGCTCAGGAAATGACTGAGTGTATGTATGCACCACTCACCAGAACTCTGGGGGCTTGTGTGCCAGGCAGGAGTTCCTGTGCTTGAAATGATTTGCAAATCTGAGCATACCACTTAGAGAGGAACAGGCTGAACAAGTACGTCCTGAAAAGGATAGAGGCTTTAAACAGCAGCTAATATTTGTTTATTAAAATTAAGTCTTCTGCTATAGTTCTGTTTTATACTGCAACTCCCCAGACTTGCCATGTGCAATTTCTTTGCCATTTCACCTGCTGCAGCTTCACACAAGAGTAAGAAATGACATCCTCTCAGTTCTGGCCTCAGTCTGTGCACCGAGCAGCTCCTGCCAGACCAGTGACAAGGTGCACACTCCCAAATTCCCAAGCAGCTCTGTCAAGCACCACCTAACCTGGGAGTGGCAAGTGCTGAAGGGCAGAGACTCTTCCTTGCCCCAGAGGAAACTCCTCCCTGCAGAGGAGTCCACCAGGACATCTGTGTCTCGGGTCATCAAACAGCACATGTGACATTACCAACCTGACCAAGACACTGAACCAACCAACACGCACTGAAATGTGTTTCCAAATACTGCTTTCCTTGTCACTTGGCTTCAGTCATTCCCATCTCTGTAATGTGTTTTGAGGGCTACACATAAAAACAACTGCATATTAACCAACACTGTGCCCTCCAACATGGTGACATGAAGATCAGCAGCAGAAATACTTTCCTGAAAGCATATCCTTGTCGTGTAATGCCTCCACTGTTGGGAACAGTCCTTGAAAAGCCTGAAAACAAGCTTCCTGCAGGGGCTTGATTATTCTAGCAAACCTACTCTTTTTGTTCCTTATGTTCTGAACTTAGTGGCAATTCATATTTAAATAATGAAAGCAGAGTATTAAGCTCGAACTAAATAAACTCCTTACAACAGAAAGCACAACAGGTTCATCACAGTATCATCAATGATGGGGCAAACACAAACTGAAATGACACAGAATGGAAGGCACAAACAGGATGAAAAATGAAGTTATCTACTATTTAGAAGTTCAAAATACAGTTTTTGTTTCCTGCTTAGCTCTTGTTATTAAGCATGCTACTGTAAGCAGGATACTTAATAAAGAGGTAAATAAATCAGAGAAAATAACGCACCTGACAGTGCACCTCTCAAAATACAACAGGTGAAGAAAAGAGTGCCTTTGTTGAAAAGTGCTCTTAATTATATACAGTTCCTAATTATAAAATATATTTAAGAAGGTTCCTAATTATAAAATATATTTAAGCAGAACAGTTTAGTTTGTTGTCTATACAAATCTCTCAGAATCCCTCCAAAGACCAGTAAGTGCTACTGACACAAAAAGCAAGTAGGAAACACTTCTTGTAATGCCCCCACAGGGGACAGCACCTGACAGAGCAGGACATGGAACAGATCACTTGCCAGGATTTCCTGCTCCACGAGATCCATCCTACAGCAGAAGAGGAGCTTGCACCTGCTTTACATTTAGTAAACCCACGGTACTGAGTTTATCAAAACTAGACCTCCCAAATTCTTGTTAGGGCCTCTTTTTACCCCTGAAAGGTTTCCCCAGGCAGTACCTGGAAGATCCTTTCCATCAAAGCCTGCTTTGTGCCAGGCCGTGGGGCACTCCCACACCTCCCTGCAGCAGCAGTTGTCCCATCCACAGCAATGACTGTACAGCTGCCTGATTTATGGGACAAAGGGGATATCCTATAGCTCCCTTCTGCACCAAGCATGTCATCCCTCCCTGAATGTACTGCTTTGAACAGCTAAATAACACTCAACTTTATGGAAAGTAATGGTCACAGAGGCCCCGAGAATCAGATCCTGCAACTTTGCACTGGCTATTGGTTTTCTTCAGAAACAACAAGGACAAAGATTAGAATTCTGAAGATTTTACTAATATTCTTTCTGTAGGAAGCATGTATCAGCCATTGGTATGTTAGATGCACTGTGCTATTTTTGGCCTTGAAAGCATGAATAATCATTTGACACATGGACAGCTTTAACTCAAGCCCTGTTTGATCACTGACATTCCTATCGATATTCCCTGCCACAGAGCCAGCCTGGGGAGTGGAAGTGTGCTACACAGGATACAAAAACACAACCAGCTGCTTGCCAAACCCCATACCTGACTTCAATATCCATAAACTGTGTTGCTGCTGTTGTCCAGGATAACACCGACAGCCATGTGGAAAGGACACTATGAAAAGATGATCCACTGACAATATAAACATTTTTTGAGTATCACTTTTCACATGAAGTGTGAATTTTACGGTACAATTTAGCTACTCTGGTTATGCATGGAGCTGAAGTGTACTCAGAACATGGGGGGGGGGTGGGACAGAAATAGTTGGGTTCTTCTCCTGAGGGGAACGACCCAAGAAAAAATTCAGACAGGCTCCAGAATGATCAGTGGATCTACACATGAGAAAGCCACACAGACTGCTATGTCTAACAGAACAACAGAACCAAGAGCAAAAGATTGCAAATTTTCTGCTGCCAAAAGGTGGGACTGTTGGTACAATTCTACCCTGGTTAAACCTGGTTTTTGTGGTATGCCTTTGGGATCACCATAATGTGGGACTAACATTTAAATTCAAAATAGATATTACTGAAACCAAAACAACTAGATTTGCCCCAATCAAAGAGGAAGAGAAAATTTTGTATCCTCAAATTTTTGAAACTGGACCGTATGTGATCAAAAATGCAGATCAGCAACAAGTGTTGTTTAATCCATCTTGTTTTCTTAAACGGGTGGAATTAGTAATGCAGATTAATACTTCTGCACTTAAGCCAATGTGCTCACCATTCCCAAGGGCTCCCTGTGCAGGATGCTTAGCTTGGCTACATGGGCAAACAAACCCTCACTTCTCCCAGAGGAACAAGAGACACAACTTGTTTTTCTCCGAATACTAATAAGTTTTGTCTTAACTGTAGCACTGTATATTCACACTTAGGAAATCATGAGGCAGTTGACTTACCTTATCATCCCTGTGATTCATTTCAGGAAACACGTGATGGCTGCAAAGTGAGACTTACAATATGTATAAGAAGAATCATAAGTCTGAAAGTAGAAAATTGATGAATAGCAGGAGCAAAGTTCCAAATAACAAGATAAAGAACAAAGCAGTTAAGCAATGGAAGCAACAGCCACAGGAATGTAGAAAACAGAAAACTGATGGCCTAGGTCCTTGAAAGGGGGAAAACAAGATAACACTCTTCTTATCCAGGATATTATATATCCAGGCTTGACTGGTTCTGTGGTGAGAACTTGCCCCAGCCATTGACTTTGTTTGTTAAGTTATCATCATAGTAAAAGTCCCACCCCTAGCTCAGCCCCCCTGCCCACCCAGCATGTGCCAGGACTTCTTGGGACACTACACCTTGAAACTGAAACGGAGAAAGGGGAAGCCAAGAACAACTTAAAGCATGGAGTGAAGATCTGCTGTTGGCCTGAGAGTGTAACCATAGGTGTGCCTGTGTGTGTGTGCCTCTGTGCCAGCTCTGAGGACTCAGCACACAGCAGGACTATCACCCCATGGCCAGAGCAGGGCTCTCTCTCATCCCTGCTGTCAGTGTGAGCAGGACATGGCTCAGGGGAACTGCCTGCACTGCCATTTACACTTGCTTTTCCCATTATTAAGCCTGACCCCCCAGGACCCCACTGCTACCAGTCCATGCTCAGACTCATCCCCCATTCTACCAACCCTAACTCCACACTCAAATCATGGCCTTCTCTGCACCTTGGCTCCTCCCTGGTACCTGCCCTCCTATCCAAAGGGTTCAGCTCCAAGTCAGGTACTTCCTTCACTCATCTGCCCCAGCCCCAAATAGGTTCAAACAGACTGTTCCCATTCAGTTCTTCCTGCTTGCTGGATCCCTGAAGAGGAGCTGGATTTCCCTACAGAAAGGAATGTAAGCAAGAAATATTTCTTTCCACTGCATGGAAATCTTTCCCAGGACTTTCTGAATTACTTATCATGCAGTAAAAGCCTAAGGCATGCATTCAGCACACCCTGTGCCTTTCAGTCATGACCTGCTTTCGTAGTATCATGTTCACTTCAGCTTTGCTATCATTAAATTTAAAAAAAAACCCAAACAAAAAACAACAGGGCTGATAGTTTCCATTCCTTCAGTCAAAACTCAGTAAGTGAAGTTGTTAAGACTTTTTGGCATTGAGCAATTATTACACACTGGAAACACCAGGTTAGACAGAAGCCATGATATTGCAATAAATCCTGAGTACATTTAGTAACTCTCCTAATGTTTTATTGTCAGTAACAGAAACATAGCAAGATACAAGGCATACAGCTTTTGAGCATTTCACCACAGTGTACTAAGTGCTATATAAAATAGGAACTCACTTTTAAGTAAACGAATGCTTTAACAAGTATCTTAACATTTCCGTGGCTGTTGAATAATGTAAATTCTTTTAGGCAGTATGAACTTCTCCAAGGTAGGCTGTGGCTTTTGGTGAGCCACTTGTAATGCTGCTGCACGAATTTTGTGGCTCATCTGTAACATTAAACGAGGGAGAAAAAGGTTGTGACAGAACAGTTTTTCAATTATTCTCTTCCTAAACTTCATCATATAGTTTAAAAACAGCAGTAAAACTTAAATCCACAAAATTTCAAGTGATCAATAGATAAAACTCATGGTGATTCAGTACATTTAGTTATATTTCTGTTTTCAAAGTGATATTAGTCTGACTATCTTCAGTGAACTTTTATTTTTTTTGCCTTTCTTAGAAGTTCATAAAATGAGCTGCCAAGATAAGGAAAGCACAGCAAATAATCGATATTCCAGAGTTAACAGT